AACTTCTTGAATTCGTTATATGTCCTGGATATTAGTCCTCTGTCAGATATAGGGTTGGTGAAGACCTTTTCCCAGTCTTTGATCTGTCATTTTGTTCTGATGACAGTGTTCTTTGCTTTGCAGAAGCTTTTCAGTTTCATGAGGTCCCATTTATTGATTGTTGATCTTAGGGCCTATGCTGTTGGTGTTATGTTCAGGAAGTTGTCTCCTATGCCAATTAGTTCCAGGCTCTTCCCCAATTTTTCTTCTAACAGGATTAGTGTGTCTGGTTTTATGTTGAGGTTTTTGATCCACTTGGACTTTAGTTTTGTGCAGAGTGATAAATATGAATCTAATTGCATTTTTATACATGTAGACATCCAGTTAGACCAGCACCATTTGCTGAAGATGCTGTCTCTTTCCATTGAATGGTTTTGGCTTCTTTGTCAAAAATCAAGTATCCATAGGTGTGTGGGTTTATTTCTGGGGCTTCTATTTGATTCCATTGATCCACCACTCTGTTTCTATGCCAATACTATGCCGCTTTTATTACTGTTGCTCTGTATTACAGCTTGAGATTAGGGAAGCTCTTTGAAATAAATCTCTTATTATCACTACAGCTACATAAAGTGAGGATTGTGACTCTCTACCCCGCATTGTGACAACTCCCTTGATCCCATGCATGAGGCCTGATCATCTGTGTATGGAACAACTGGATGTTACTACTCATACACTTTCTCCCTAAGTGTTTTGTGATTATTTGTAAGAGAGTAACAAAATGTATCAACAGAAATTCCAATTTAATTTTAGACTTCCATAGGAAACTGACATTGATAAGGCATACTCCCCAGAAAGTCCTCATAAGGTCTTGCCAAATTTCCAGCTAGTATCCTAAAAGCTTCCACAGAAATGTTGGTTATTAGGCAGAATTTAATTTGTGAAAACCCATTAACAAAAATCTCTAATTAGGAAAAAAAAAAAAAAACAATGGATGCCTATGACATTAAACAGAAAAATCTAATGCAGAGCCATTAAATTTTGTTCTATTCAATTAACTTGAATACAACATGATGGACTCAAAAGATATTTTAATTAGATGCATATGAACAGAAATTGTGCAAAATTAAGCAGACCTTTCTCTGAGCAACTCATATAAGGAAAATTGCAGCAAAGGATTTGCTCAAATCCCTAATGATGGGTAATTTCCTTGAGAGCAGCCTGAATTCTTAGACAACATCTTTACAAATCAATCCTCTCCCAAAAGACCGTCCTTTGTGTCAGGAGACAGCTCACTGTGCTGCCTGCTTCATTCTATGCTCTTTTATTTTTCCTGAGTAAGACAGTCAAGCTTCACGGGATTGTTTACAAAATGCGCTATTCTAAGCTCCTCATAGTCAAAGTAGCCCAGAATGAATGGCTCTAATTTACAGGGTGAGTATATGCTTAAGATCGTCTCCAATAGCCTCAATTTATGCCTATTACCTTGGCATTATTAATAGCACCCCTTTTTGCTCCGAAGAGTGTCCTGATTTGGACAATAAATTATATACTCACCTTACTAATGTACCAACCATCCTCACCACCTGTTTCGCACTGGCAAGCTCGTCCTTTCAACACTTGCTAGAAAATGGAAAATGTCTCTGCTCAAAGGAAGGAAAAGCTTTGGTAGTTGGTGAGTATTCATCTCTCACTCAGTTGTTTCTCATCACTCCCTGATTCATCTCACTATTACTCTCATTTCTAAAAAGATTTAATTTTATGTTTTTAATTGTGTGTCTAAGATTTTTATCTTTGATTTTAAGTGTGTGTGTGTATTTGTGTATGTGTGTGTGTTAGTGCAGCGCCTATAGAATTCAGAAGAGTGTGCTAGGTTCTTGGAGATGGTGTTACAGGATATCGTGAGCCATCCCATGGGTGTATTGGGACGTGATCTCAGGTCTTCTACAAGAGCAGAAAGCATTCCTAACCACTGACCCATCCCTCCAGTCCAACATTAGACTCATTTTATTGTTTACTTATTAACTGTCCTTGACACTTGGCAATCTCATATTTAAGATGGTTGCTTAAACACTTTCAGTATGTTACATATAATGCTGACTACAAATTCTCAAACCTAAGATGGTTCTGGTCCTTTAAAAGAGTGTCATTCTCACCTGAAAGTAATTAAATAGCAACATAACATATATCACTGAAGTAGAAAACAATCTTAAATATTTTATCATTATTTTATGGTAGTTAGATTCCAAGATGGCCCTGCTTCAAGATACTCCTATTTGTCTGTAATTCTTATCTCATCCACTGTTTTATCATCAGTTTTTATGTCCAACACATAAGACTTAACATTTCAAGATTATGTAACGAAATGATGTTACTATTTTGTGTGCCTTACTGTTTACCCAAGGCCTCTACCTTTTTCAGATTACTTACCACAGTAAAAGGCATGCTGTGAGATTTATAGTAGGCCATGTGGTATAGAGCTGAATTCTAGTCAAATAAAAGCAAGGAACTGACTTACTAGTCACCACATAAACTGGGGGTAGAGCCTCTAGCTCCATTTGATCCTTAGTAAAACACAGCTTTGCCCATCTTCCCAAACCCTAAACCTGAACCATAAAGATTCACTTTCAAAAGTTTAGTTATTCATTCAAAAGTTAACATATATGTGTGCTTCCTCAAGAGTGTGCATACATATAATGTACTTTAATCATATAATATATATATAATACTATATACTATATATTATATACTATATACTGTATACTATATAAAATATAATGTACTTTAATTATATCTCTCTCATTATCCTTTCCTTTGACCTTCTTCTTCCCCCTCACTGAGTCCCTTCTTCCCAACAAGCTCTACCCTCCCAGAAAGATCCCAAAAGGTCTTCACACTAAGAAACTGTGAGATAATAAATGTCTGCTGTGAAATGCAATGATAGATAACAGATAGGAGTCAAAACCCTCTCTTCCTGGAGTATATACTCCTGTAAGATTAATTATAACTGCCAAGAAATTCAGTATCAGTAATCTTGAAACAAACGGAGATAATATGGCCATAATCTATTCATTTGCTCATTCAATATTTACTGAGATTGAGTTAAGAAGAGTGAAGCTGTAATTATAATTACAGCTAAATTCAGAAGTCTCTGGCAGGAGGATGGCAAGTTCTATACTAGCCTAGGTTACAAAACAGGGGGAAGAAAAGAACTACAACCTCAGTTTAATGTTGCAAAGATTGTGCTAGACACAGTACTAGCTGCTGAGATAGAGGAACAGAAAAAGGAACAAAGTGATGGGCATTAGCCTCCGTGGCATATTTAGTCTGAAAGAACCTGAGGAAAACAAGAATAATATCAGTTTCATTTCTGAGTTTTCTATTTATAAGCACAGATACGAGGATAGACAGAAGGTAATGCACATTGAGCATTTTTTAAAACTTTTATTGGTTCTTAGTGAATTTCCCATCATACACCTCAATCCCACTCATCTTCCCCTCTACTAATACCTGCTCTCTATCCTTGCAACCTCTTTCCCAACAGTGAAAAAAAAAATCTCATGAAAGCTGTAGTGTGTCACAGTGTATCCTACAGTTTACCCTTTTGCTCACACTTCTTTGCTTGCAAATGTTCATTGCAATGACTCAGTCTGGTATGTGGCCTCTGGCTTCTGCTACTCAATCAGTACAGGAACCTCACTGGGACTCTTCTCAGATATCCTACTGTTGCCCTGTGTCATGGAGATCCTGCAACCCATACCTCCAGGACCAGCTCTCCTGTGCTGCCCAGGTGAGGTCCACGGCCTGCTCTCCCAAGTGCTGCAGCAAGTGAGGGGCAGAGACAGCTCTCCCACTCTGATGACCTCAGGACCTGTTCTCTTGCCTGCAGTAAGTGGCAAGATGAGAGGGGGAAGGGGGCATCTTACCTTTGCCCATGTCACCCCATGGCAGACAAGTGGCAGGGCCAGCTCTCCCATGCCCAAGCCCTTGAGGCTGGCTTGCCCATACCCTACCACCAAGGTGAGCTCTACTCGGCTGGCCAGGAGTGCTACAGCTGGTGAGGGACAGGGCCAATGTTTCTGCTTTCATGACCCCAGGGCTATGTCTCCACCTGTTGCAGGTGGTGAGGGGTGAGGTGGAAAAAGGATATCTTCCCCTCATCTGTGCCACCACATGGGAGACCAGTAGCAGGGCCAGCTGTTCCATGTTCACACCCTTAGGTCCTGCTCTCCTGAGTTCTGAAGCTGGCTAGGGGCGGGGCCAGCTCTCCTGCTCTCACATTCCTAGGGCCAGCTTTCCCAGGTGTCCAGGTGAGGAATGCAGCCAGTTCTGCACTGCCCTCATATATCAACACGTCCCTGGGTAGAAGTCCAGATGTCTGCCTGGCATTTGGTGGTTACAGACCCCTAGTCGTGGAGAGAGCCACAGACCCAGACATGGGCTCTGGCCCCTGCCGCAGGCCAGGACTCCAGCATGGCCCTAGATGGCATCACCAGTCACTCACAACAGACTGTTCCTCAGTACTTTCAAGTCTCCAGCTCTGTCTCTCTTCATGGTGCACACATCCTTCTGTTTCTCATTCACTTCTACTTGTCCATCGTTTACTTGTTTCTCTTTGTGGTGTTGGGGTCTCTGAGTGTCTGGGGTCATCTCAGGAGTGGTCTCAGGAATGCTATGCATTATGGCACTGGGCAAGGGTCATCTCGGGCACGGTCTGCCCCCAAGCCCAGATCTGCACAGTGCTGCACTGATGGTCATCTCGGGCTAGCTCTGCTGTCCAGGCCCCATGGTAATCAGCATAGTGATCATCTCAGCCTTGCTCCTCCCCAGACTGAGTGGCTATATGTGGGTCTAGCCTGTTCCAGGCTCACTCCTACCCAGGGCCTGTGTCTCAGTGGGAGTTTGTTTAGTCTCTGGCTTGCTCTCCACCCTGGAAGCCTTGTGCAAGGCACTGGACTGGCAGTCAGCTCAGACTAACTTCCTGTCTAGGCTCCCTGGCACTGGCTTAGTGTTCTCAGGCTTGCTTTTTCAGGAATTGCTGATCATTCAGATGCTCACAGGTCAGGACACTGAGCTGAGTGTAGACATGGCCTCTCTTCTCTCTGCCACCTACTGACACACGTGGGATGCAGCAGCCAGTACCTCAAGGGGCAATTAAAATTCTCATTTCTAATGCATGAATTCTGAATCCAAGTACATACCACTGAAAACTTAATGATTCACTATGATGATAGGAATATTTGACCATAGTTAGTTAATTTATGAATTGTATCCTCCTGCTTAGAGAGTAGGTAACATAAAAGTCTGACGTTTTAAAATTCGTCTAAGAACTGAAAGGCATAATTAAGTACTGAAGCCAGGATGATATGAAGTCTATGGTATTGGTGAACACTAAGAAGACAGGTGAAAGGCAGAGGGGGAAACTAGCCCTGAAATTTTAGGGTATCTAGGATGGCAAAAATAGTAGTTGTGCTGCTTAATCCAGGTCCAACACTGAATCCTTCAACAGCCTAAATGAGGCCTTTTACTGCCTCATGTTCCTACCCATTAGCATACATTAAATGTAGTAGTTACTTAGAACGCTCCATCATAAAGACATCAAAAATAAATTGCCGAGCACCGGATAGGAATTGTGCAAAAGGAACTTAGAACGTAGGGAAGAATTGCCTGTACCTGGTCATCTCAGTTTTAAGGAAACTTGTGGCCATGCTTACATGAGCCACACTAAGCAAGCTGTGGCTCTTTCTACCTTCTTCATCAGGCTTATTTTTCCGGTGCACAAGGTCATTCCTTTTACAGGCATCAACAGGGATGCCCTTACTCCTCCCACTAATGAAGAACCAGTGCTGACAACTCCAGCATAATCACCATCCTTTTCATCTTTTCTTTTCCCCCCTAAAGCTTAAACTAATAATAATAACCATCTTTAAGCTTTCTCATGGGAAACCTGGGCATGACTGGAAGGGACATCAATTGTTCTTAGGGCAGCTATTATTGTAAGAATTAATCACCGCTATTTGCAATTACTGTACTGTACAATTATCACTAATATTTATGCTCCTCTGACTGCAACTGGAGATGGAGTAGCTTTGGTTGCTATTGCCTGGAACTAAGAAGAAAAGTGAGAAAATAAATGAAACCAAAGTAGGGAGATGACAGGTGGAAGAACCTGATTCTCCTGCCGGCAAGCCAGGGTATACTAAAAGCCACAGCCTTCTCCTGTCACAGCAGCCACCTACTTGGTTTAAAGTTTTTCCTTTAGGAAAAAAAAAATCATTTGAACAGTTAGGAAAGGATGCATATTGCATCTGGGCTTGCAGTTCAAAATGTTTATGAGCTTATATGACTAACTTGTTTCAAAACATATGACTCATCATATATATTTTAATATATATTTAATATACTACATATTTATAATATATAAATATATTTATATAATATGTATAAATATATAAATATTTATTTATATAATATGTATAAATATACTTATATATTTGTTTCTGGTTTTAAATTAGATCCAAGACAAAGGATTTGGTTTTATTCTTTTTTCTTTCTTAGATTACATGTAGTTTGCCTAAATTACCTTAATCTCATACAGTTCGCCAGTATCTCCAAACTATGGTCTCACCACCAGGATGCTGGCGTTTGAAACAGCCAGGACACAGGACATTCTGTGAACCCAAGCATCCCTGGCTTTTCCCTTTTACAGCCAGACGTTTCTGCTCATCGTCATCTTCACCAACATTAATGTGTTTACAATGTTTCATGATTTTGTCGGTTTAATAATGTTGTCCTTGGGCTTTCAAGAATCAAACTGACATAAACATCCTTATATAAGCTCTGCTATGTGCATCCATTTTTATGTATATGAAAGAAGTGCCCCGGAGTGGAAAAGCACTTGTGTCAAACTGCTTCTCAAGGTGGCTGTACCATCCCACATTCTGACATGCATTCTAGGAGAGAGCCTGTCTTTCTGACTACTCACCAGCGTTTTCTGTTCCCACTTTTGTTTTGTGACAGACATGCTACAACATCTCTTTGTAGTTTTAAGTTGCTTTATGGGGCCTGAGAGATGCCTGAGGTAAAGATGTTTGCTGTATGAGCCTAACAACCCAAACACAATATGCAGAAACTAAGCCAAAGGAGAAGAAGGAAACAAACTACACAAAGCTGTCCTCTGATTTCCACCTGTGTGATATAGCACACATGTGCCCACACTCACAAAAACTAATAAATAACATTGAATTATACTTATTGATGATTTTCATCTTTTTTATATGATGATTTTTTTTCTTTCTGTTGTGTGATATTGACGCTGTCACCTACGGCGTCACACTTGCCAGGCAAATACTTTACGGCTGAGCCATGCATCTCCTCCTCCTTCTAGGCTTATTTGCCATGAGCACATTCCTTTCAGTAAGATGTCTCCTCACGTCTTTTGCCCACGTTCTATTAAAAGTATTTTAGTTTTGCATTTTGAGGGTTGCTTACATATTCTAACACACACGTTAGCAGCTTGTCTGTGGCATAATGATGAATTACCATTGATTCTTTCTCATTCTCTCTAGTGTAAGAGAAGACTTTTTTTTCTTCATTAAATTGTTTTTTCACATTAGTAAACAATTGCTTGCCCACTTTCATGTAGGGCTAGCTCTGAGTCCTCCATTTTATCCTTTTGATGACTGTCTATTCCTCACCAATGTGCATACTCTGCTCCTGCTGCTGTCTTTACGCTCTTTCAAAATAGCTTTTTCTGTCTTATTCTCTTTGGAGTTCCATATAAAATCTAGAAAAGCCAAGTTTAAATCTACTAGGTATTTTGCTTATGCTTTGGTAGGCATCGTAGTAAACACAGATACTAGTTTGGGGAGAATAGAAAGCTTCGTAGCATTGAGACTTCCAACATGTATCTGACTGCCTCACTAATCAGCGCTGTAAGTTGTCAGCATACAAATTTCAGACTTAGTTATTTTGAATTGTCATTTACTTTATTTGTTTCTTGAATTGATGGGTTACAGTTGTTTTTTAGCCAGGGTACTCACAGCTTAGGGCTAGCGTATTGACCTCTCATTGATTTACTTTCATGTGTTTATCACGTTCCCTATAATGTGGCTGAACTCATTGTCGAGTCTTTATTTGTGTTTCTTTTGTAGAGTCCTTAAGACGTTGTATGTAGATGATAATGTCACCTCCAGTCTTTCTGCCTCTCCATTTGCTGGTCTTATATCACTATGCATCTCTAATGTTGACCGCTATTTGAGAAATGGTCACAGAAGGTTAGAAAAAACATGGGATGTTTCAAATTCTAGTGCCACAGCCATTTCCTCCTGGCAACCACTGCCATGCTGAGGTCAACAGGGAGTTCCCATAGATTCCTCTTTATATCAAAAACAAGGGTGATGCACTTTGTGTCAACAACAACAATAATCAAAAACTAACTGTTGAACAAAAGATTTTCCTTGCACTTTGCTGTCTTAGGAGTTACATGGCATCAACTAGGTTCTCTCTCCCTGTGTATATGTGTGTACATTTCTACACACACATTTCTGTATATATGCTTATATATACATATATATGTAATTGTTCTTTTGCTCTTTCTCACTGTGTGTGAATGTGTGTGTACATGTGTATGTGTTTGTCTGTGTGTATACGTCTGTGTCTTTTTCTCTGTGTCTGTTTGTGTGTGGGGGTGTTTATAATGGAGAAAAAGCTGGGAAGTTTTATTTATGTGGGAGAAGCCTAGAAGCACAAGGGTGGGTAAAGATTTAAAGAAAGAGCCACAATGTTTCTCCTCTGCGTGGCTGCACTATTTTGTACTCTGACAAGTAAGGTAGGAGTGAGCTCCTCTTTCCACATGTTCACCTCCATTTGGTTTGCTCACTTTGCATTTCCCCAACAGAGCTTGTTCCCAAAACCACACAGCAAGAATGTATTGTCACATTTGAAAATAGTTGTGCCAACCTGACAGATATTTTTAACATAATTTTGGCTTTCATGTAATTATACATGATGTGTAATTTATACTTACAAATTTGGGGCTAGTTATCTTTTGCTTTGCGGATGGTCTATTAATGCATTCTCTCATTTTTCTATCAAGTGTTTGGTCTCTTTTCTTTCAGTTGTAAGAAATTTATAAATCCACATGTCGCTCGGGTGAGTGCTAAGATGGAGTGGGCTCAAATACATTCTTCCAGTTTCTCGGGGCATTTTTCAGTTTGTGGATGGTAAGGTTCAGAACCTCTTTGAGATGCACTGCACAATCGCATTCATCTCCCTTTTTATTAACTTTAAATTTATGATAATATTTACGTAGCTTTTTTCTATGATATTATTAAAGAGAAAACACCCATGTTTTACAGCAGTACTAACATGATCTTATTTCTTACGTTTACCTCTCCAATCCACTTAAAATTTATTCTTTAACATGAACCTAAATCTTAAATACGTCAGAAATTCAACTCATATTTTAAACCACTACTTATTAATAACTTGGTCTTTGCTCACTTGAAACAGGAGGCTGCGTTTGTAACATACAGAACTCATTCATGCTCTACAGCATGACTGTGGGAATTTTTTACTCCATTGGTCTATGTCTATTCATGCCTCAGTGTCACACAATCAAAGATGTATCTGTCAATGTTCTGTGTCTCACATCCTTGGTAGATATGTAGAAACAGAAGAGCATTACCGAAATAAGGCAACTTACTGACAGGGCATAGTCTCTGGGCAGATTTCTCTCACCTTTGTTAGCATGAAATATTGTCTACTGAGCTTTCAAAGATCAGTGTATAATATATTATCGTTGCCTTCATTACTCTTTTTTAAATTTATTTTTTATTAATTACAGTTGATTCACTTTGTATCCCCTCTGTAGCCCCTCCCAATCCCACCTATCTTCCCTTATCTCCTCCCATGCCCCTCCCCAAGTCTACGGATAGGGGAGGTCCTCCTCTTCTTCCATCTGACCCTAGCTTAGCAGGTCTCATCAGGACTGGCTGCATTGTCTTCCTCTATGGCCTGTGGTGTGGCAATGCCTGACACATTGTAATCACGGAGAGAGGGGTCATGCTCCTGGTGAGTGTAGAACTTGAGCAAGGGCACTCTGCCTTCTTGGGTCTTATATTTCTCACATTTAAATTTTTCAGTACGTTGTAG